GCCTCCCAGGCCTTCTTCTGAAATCTGGGCAGAAGCCTTCTGAACCTCAGAACACCTGCATTCTACATGTGCCTACAACCAAGGCCACGTAGATGATTCCAAGGGCTGCTGCCAGCTGGAGCAGTAGCCAGACTTTCCTCTCTCTTGGCTGTAGGCATCGAGTGCCTGGATTGCTGAGCACTCTGACCCTGATTTGGAGGAATAATTTCTCCATGCCAGCACCATTTTGGAACCTGGTGCAGCCACTGCCGCCATTCTGGAACATGGGGCACAGCAGCTTTCCCCTCAAGGCAAAGTCCCTCACCTTTGCAGTTCTGAGGCCACAAAAGGTGGAGACCTGCCTCCTCTTGTGATGCCCACTGGGCATCCTTTTCATTTTCAGGTTCCTTTCTGGCAACGGAGATTCTCTCAGCTCCACCTTTGCAGTCCACAGCTTTATTGGAGCTTTCTTTCTGGCTAAGCTCACAACACTATAAATCCTCTTGCTGGGCTCCTTGCTCTTTATTCTCAACATAAATCTGAATAAAAGCCCCTAACAACAACCAGGCCACTGCCCCAATATTTGGCTGCTTTGAAATATCTTGTGCCAGATTGATCAGTCCGCCATGCTTAAACTCAGTCTCAGGCAAAGTCTCTGGACACGAGCAAAATGCAGACAACTTTTCTGCCAAGTCAAAACACACATGATCTGGAGTCCAACAACCACTGCAGTCCTTCTTCCCATAAGCCATTCCCAAAACCTTGTAATCCACATCATCAGGTATAGCCACAGCAACGACCCCACTCCTAGTACCAAATTCTGTCTTAGTTACTTTTTACTCGTTGCTGGGACAAATATCCGACACTCAAAATGAAAGAAAGAAAGGTTTATTTAGCTCACAGTTACTGGAGGGTTTAGTTCATATTCTGCTAGCTCCAAGGCAAAAAACAGCAGTTCATGCGGCAGAAAACAATGAAGAGCAGAGGAGGAGCAGCAGCTGCAGTGGTGTCCATCAAGCCTCTCTCTTCCTCCTGCGCTGACTGCGAAGCGCTGCACAGTGAAGATAGGAGCTCCTCCAAAGTGGCTCTGCTGCGAAGGTCAAGCTCCTCCAAAGACTGAGACTTTGTGGTGGGGTGGCAGGAAACCAGGCAGGGCAGCTTCCTGCCTTTCTCAATTCCTGGGTCAGGCAGGGCAGCTTCCTGCCTTTCTCAATTCCTGGGCCCTGCCCACCTGCAGGGCGAGGCCCCCATGCTGCCAGAGCTGATTTAGGCAAGTTGACACAATGTATCAACTAACACACGGGGGACATGCTTGACACCAACTCACTCTCAGGAGAGAAAACTCCACCTGAAACACCAGCCCTTTCTACCCAGGGCACAGCCCCGAAATTGCTACTCATCTCCCATTTGCTTTACCTCTCAGAGTTTCTACCACCTTTCACATCACTAAGGGGACCAAGCTTGCAACTTGGAAAGCTTTAATTGATGTTATGGCTTGTCTCTGGATGTCCCCTCAAAGCCTCATGTGGTCATATGTGGGGTTTTGTCTGAGGTGGCTGGATCTAGATTGTCTGACTCTGCTCTAATGTTAGGCTCAAGGGCACTTGGACTAAAGGTGTGAACAATATCTGTCCTAAGTGGTCTGCATAAGATATTAAAGTCAAAGAGACATTGTTCTGGCCTTGCTCCCTTCTGTCCACCAGAAAGTGTTTCTCCTCTGTGCCACCTGTCTGCAGTACCACTCTGCCTTGGAGCCAGCCAACTACAGATGAAACCTCTAAAAAGTGTAAAACAAGTAAGCCTTTCCCTTTTACTTTGGGTGTTTCTGTCCTTTGTCTCAGCAATGAGAGAAAATTAACTAAGAGAGAACTTGGTAGTAGGAGTGTTGCTGTTGCTGTGCCGTCACCTGGCTGTATGCCTCAAGAACCTTTGGCACTGCCTTGCTGGAAGGGGAGAAGTAGGAAGGGTTTGCAGATGCTGTGTGAAAAAGTAGAGGTGGAATGCTTGTGCTGTACGTGCTGAAGAGTCTGGTCAGTTAAGAAGACAAGAAATCTTCCTGGCAAAACCCAAGCTAAGTAGGTTTCTTTTTTAAAAATATAAGTAATTCATTTTTATTGCACAGGTTTGTGGCATACAATTTTTATATTCCTTTGTGCAGGTGGTCCATGTACATAACACCTCATATGTCCTTTCCTTTGAAATTTAAACCAGCTGAGGAATTATTTTACCTTTCTGCTTTCATAGAGCTAGAAGCTTCTTATTTTTCCTTTCAAAAGTATCACTGGGGGGCCTGCCCCTTAGCTGGGGGCCTGCCCCTTAGCTGGGGGCCTGCCCCTTAGCTCAGTTCTTTAAGTGGCTGCTTCAACAAAGCAGTCAGGCGCAGGTGGCTGTGGTTC